GGGGGGGGGGGGGGGGGGGGGGGGGGGGGGGGGGGGGGGGGGGGGGGGGGGGGGGGGGGGGGGGGGCATCGGAGGGCACAAGAGCATGCCAAGAGTGAGGGGTCTGGATCGCCAGGCGTTGTTGCTCTCGAGCACCTTTAATCTTTGGATTGCATAGAATGCATTAAGTCGGTGACAAGCACGAAAAGAAGCACATGGCAAAAACACGACTGACTCCGGTCGAGGCTGTACCAAAGGACAACCCACTTTTTTTCGTTTCTTGCCAACAACTTCGACGATTTGTGTTCTCCAATGGGAAGCTGCTTCCTTTCACACAAGATCCCTATTAATAGGGAGAACTGGGCGCATAGTTACTCAGTGTACCGTGGTCAAGAGAAGCGCGTGGGTCGCGACGACAACAACAACTTCGGCAAAAAAACAAGGTCGAAAGGAAAAACAATACTCGAATATATACCACGACCAAGACGGAAAACACCCGCACATCGCCTCAAAACCGGCAGCCACCCGAAGACCCCCGTCCCCGCCCGACCACCTTTGGCAAAGTAGGAAGGAACGATTGGCCATCGGTGACTGGTTTTGCGGGAACAATGCTCCGTCCTCTCGAGGACGCGTGGGGTCAAGGGTCTAACCCCTAAGAGGTACGCAAAACATAAGAGTACCCGCCCCCACCCCCCTCGCCGCCGGACCTACCCACCTGCTGCTGCTCCACGGTGAACCACTTCCGGAACACTACGGCCGAGCGCGACTCGTCGAAGTCCCTGCCGTAGCCGCTGCTGCAACCCCCTCCGTCTCCCGCCGTCCCTTCCCCGCCGTCATGCCGACGCCTATCCCCGGGCAAGAGGAAATTGAGCACCTCCACGGAGGCGTCTTTCGAAGGCTCGACGCTCACGGCCCGTACCAAGGGGTGATCCGGACCTGTGCATGTTTCCACACCATGAGGGTGGAGACANGGGGGGGGGGGGGGGGGGGGGGGGGGGGGGGGGGGGGGGGGGGGGGGGGGGATACACGTTTGAACAATATCACAAGACATTGAACTAGTTGGCCACACGCAGTTCTTCAGGAAACGGACGCACGTAAACTCTTTTACAAGCGACCCGTCTGCCGAAAGCGATTTTTTGCAGCGTGAGCGGGCGTGTTGTCGCCCTAGTAGCATCCACAGCACCAATGAATAACTACCACTCCTTGAGAGCGAAGAGCCTCACCGCAGGGGTCCCAAAGAACGAGCCGGACACGTCCCTCCCCGTCTCTAGGGAGCTCCGTCATCGGCGTGTCGAGAGGCAGCGGCCTCCCGCCCGCCCACCCGACCCTCGACAGCCCCCCCCCTCCCCCCNCCCCCCGCGCCCGCCGGCGCCCATCCTTCGCCCCCGCCGGCCCCTAACTCCGCCTCCGCGTCGGCAAACGCCTCCTCCGGAAAAACGCGAACGCCCCGCCGCTGCAGGTCCTCGCCTATAGACCCCGGCTGGCTTGATCTCACTAGGAACAGGAACTCTCTCAGGTCTTGGGGGTTGTTGGCCATGCCGCCGCCGCTGTCGGGTCGGTCGAGGGAGACTTCCACGAGGTCGGCTTCGGGGGTGGCGGCGGCGGCGTTGTCGCGGGGGTTCCCGCCTCGCAGCACGCGGAAGCGCACGACGGAGGCCGGGCCGTTCGCCGTAGGTGGCGGTCGTCGCTGAGGCGCCGAACGAACGTCGTCGTCGTCGTGCTCGCTGCTGCCATGGCGGTTATCGGCCTGCTGCTGCGCGCTGGACAGAGCGAGAGTGTAGCGATATCGATATCGGAAGGAGCCGGGAGCGCGGCGGAACGAGGGCGCGCGTCGTGAAAAAATGAGCAACTTTGGTTGTGCCCACAGCGTAGCATTTGCGCTCGCTTTGCGTTGTGAGGTATGTCGAGGCCAGGTGTCTTCTCGGCAGACTTCGCACAGCAGTGTAGTCGTAGCGACGAAAGGATGTCAAGCTGGTGCAGAAGTTTCGCGTGCGTGAACCTGGTGCATGCTGGCTGGTGCAATCCCTTCATCATCTCAACGTTGGCGTGGTGTTTGCGTGAGGTTTGCGTTGTGGGGTAGACGCCGGGTCTCTTCTCAGCAGGCTTTGTACAGCAGTGTAGTCGCGGGAGCGGCAAGAGGTTGTCAAGCTGGCGTGCAGCAGTTTTCGTGTGGGGGTCTTGAACCTGTGCCTGTTGGCTAGCCCTTGAAGTCAACGTGCAGAAGGAGTTCAAGCACAACAACCAACTTCACCTTCCCAGACCTGTATCTGTTTCCAACCGCCATTTGCCTCTATACACACAAACCTGTGCTCTGATACAACACCCTAACTTGCTGAAATTTTACCTGCTGCGCGTGCAGGGGAGGCTCGGGCGTGTTCGTCGAGTCAGCGGCAGACCTTCAACGCGGTGCCGCGGCCGCGGCGGCGCAGCACTCAGCGGAGGTCCTATTCTCGCGCTTGGAACGAAAGCATCGGGCCCTACCATGGAGAAACGCGAGCAGTTTGTTAAAGAAAGTGCACCGCAGCACAGCAAAGCAGTGCCATCGACAGCGGTAGAAAATGGCATGCACAGGCACAGCACGGCAGTGGGTGTCGGGGAGTGCGGAGCGATTGTTACTATTGGAGTTTTACCACTGCTGTTGCTGTCCAACCCATGCCAAACTCACCTGGACAAAGCAGAACAACCAACGAGGAGGTGAAAATAGCGGTGAGGTCTCGTCCCATCGTATCGTCCGTATGCCCGGCTGTATATGATGCACAACTGAGGCGATTGCTGTGCCGTGTGCTGTGCTGTGTGCTGTGCTGCCGCAGCTGCAAGCTGTTGTTTTTGTTACCTTGTGTTGCCTACGGTGCCCCCGCAAGACCACCCCACCCCTCCCTGTGTACCTGACGTGTGTTTTGTAACCGTCAAAACACGACAAAATATCTTTGTTCAAAGCAGAACATGTGCACATGTGCACCCATATCTATTGTTCTCTATCCACAGAGAGCACAAGCAAAGCTGTGCCATGTAAGACACGGTTTGCGTGGTGTGCTGATCGTCAGATGCTTTGAGGCAGTACACAGGAGAAAGACGTTCTTGTCCTACACAATCAAGCTCCACCATGCCAAGACCAAGCGACATGAAGCCTTCGACTAGGCGTCGACGGCATTTCGGCGGTGGCCGTCGCGGGAGGAAGAAAAGACTTTCATCGGAAGATCACGGCCGTAATGGCTCAGGATTCGTCAGCCACGGCTTCAACAGGAGCTTGGGGGCTGTCGCCTGGCTCTGGCACAAGGCAACGAGAGTAGTGGGTTGGTCAACCCCTAGGATCGAGGAGGGAGGAGGAGACGCGGGAAATTGGTCGGAGAACGGGCGCGTCCATGGTTCATCATCCGCACCTAGCGGTATTTTGCTGGCATTCGGGGCTGTCGCGACTGCCGCGGCTATAATGATTTTCAGGTTTAGTTCGGAATCTGCGTGTGGTCGAAGGAGGGATGCCTTCTTTCTCGATCCACGCGTCAAGGCGTGCGTGTGCATATCATCACTTCACACACACGCGGTTTTCTTTGTCCTTCGTCCAATCCGGGTTTGTTGGAAACCTACATAGAACTGTACCTCATCCCCACAGAAATATCTTCTTCAATCGAATTGTCATGCTCAAAGACACAAGCCGAGACAAGATTGCCTTGTTGCAGCCTGCTACTGCATAGAGACCCTGATAAGGGCATCAGACGAACAGCGGTAGCAAAGCGTGGACTCTACAACGCGCTGCGGAGTGTGGATGATTGACCCATTCATGCACAGCATGGGCCACCCATCCGAGAGTAGAAGTTGTTCATGCTGTTCCAGAATACAACGAACGACGCAAACAAGCCCTGTAGCATACGAGATAAGGTCTTGGTTACAAGTTCTGTCAAAACGTTTAGCCTGCAGTTTGCGGACACGGTACCATGGTACTGGGGGAAAATGGTGACAAAATCTGGTACATTTTTTAAAGAACTGCTCGATGGTAGCGGAATGCGGGTGTTCCACTGGATTGGACGCTGCGGCTTATGCCGTCAATTTCTCTCTAACCAAGGACTGCCGGCCAAACCATGACCCCCACTCAAATGCTTTCAACCACAAGACAGAAAGAGAAGTAACCTTCTCCGAATCCACTTTCTTTCGCTACCTCCCTTCGCACCCCGTGTTCATTGTCAGGCAAAAAACAAGAGGCAGCCACCAGACACCACCACATCAATCGGCAGCGACCCCGCCAGAAACCGACAAAGCTGAAAATGACGACGAGGGACAAGACGGCGGGAGGATACCAGAAGCGAGACAGAGACCCGCCGTTGATCGCAGCGTCAACGACAAGATGGAAGGCGCGAGTGAACAACCGAGAGAGGCACCGGTCTCGACTAGAAACGGCGGTAGTAGTAGCCTCCGGTGGTCTCCACGCCACCGAAGGATGTGAGTTGTACAGCAAGTAGATCCCACACACACATATAGTAGATGTCAATACCCAACGTTCGAGTTGGACAAAACGTGACAAAGTTTGAAATACCTTGATTCACTTGGGGCCCTAAATGGGCCATAGTAGTTTCTTGGTAAGCGTGGGGTACCAATCGTGGGCGTTCGACCTCCGGAACCACTCGTGCCTTGTACAAAGCCTAGAGCCGGTTAGTATCGCGATTGAGAAAATAAACTCTCTAAACACAAAAAGGGTGACACGTCGACTCGCTTCGACGCACGCTTGACTCGGCCTTCTGGAGCTCTATGGGCTCTTCCAATTGGTCCAAAAACCTCCCAGACACGGGTCCCACTCGAGAAGACACCCCAATACAACCTCTACTTCACAGCTATCGCCTGTCGAGCATCGAAGTTGACCAGCAGCGCTGCTGTAGATGTAAAACACTGTGGCCGAGCAGAGCCCTCCCGCTTGACAACCCTACACACGTTCTCCTTTTGTGTACTGTAGTTCCACAAAATTACGAGCGTGTGAACACGCCAACCACCGCAGGAACTCGTCTACGGTGGTAGCGGAAGGGTCGGGAGAACGGCGTCTCAGTCTCTACGACGTCCTCACCGGGGAGGCGCCACTACCGCCAACTCGGGGCGGAATGCCGGACACCGCCGGTGCCGAGGCCGCCTCTACTACCGGCAGGGAAGTCGGGCGTGGGCTTCGCAGCGGCGGCGGCGGCAGCGGCAGCGGTGTCGGTGTCGTCCCGCTCGGCGGGGGTGCGCGACGGGCGTCGATCTTCGACCGGATCGCGGATGTCGTGTTCAACGAGGAGCAGAAGGAACAAGATCCTGTCGACGCCATCGCCGTCAGGTTGGTTGATTGGTGTCGACCGTTTCGGTTCATCGTCTTAGAGGTAATACTGAATCACCCAGCGCACGCTCTGCCAATGGCGGCTGTAGGCGTTGGAACGGCGAGGGAGGAGGGGGGCAGAAAGTGTCCAAGCGCAAACCTAAAATATGAGGTTTAAGCGCCAGCATGCGCGAGCTCGTGGTCATGAAAACATGGCTTCTGAGGCGTTTCTTCCGAGCCCGACGTCCACCCCTCTCCACGCAGTCCTCCCGCAACCCTTTTGGCCTGGCGTACTCTGGGCTGCAAAAACGGCAGCTTGGAAGGCAGCAAACGAAACGGCAAGGAATCGAAAACGTAGACCATGGGACAGGTTGGCCTATGGTCTTCCTCCTACGTCTCGTCCCTTACCCTGCCAGTACCTCTATTCAACACTTGCGTTTTGCAACGTCGCCTTTCTTTGTTGTCAGGAATGAGTTGGAGGATGAGTTTCGGGTTTCGTTCCGAGAAGGCGCCATGGGTATGACCTTGTCCATGGATCCTGACACCAGGGACGCTATCGTCGGGAAGATAGTCGAACAGGGGCAGGCGTTTCGAGCGGTGAGACTTACCAACGGAACAGAGGCGGCAGCGTACCACTTTTTTTTTGTGACGTACTGCAGGGGAGCGGATGGCTCGTCTTGAGGCGCAAGGGGTCATGTTGCAGGCATCGGTTACACACTTTCATGCGTACGGTTCGGGCACGAAACCCGCACACGACGCCCTCTCCACCTGTCGCCGCCTTCCTCTCTCTCAACACCGCCGGTGTACGCGCGGAATTCACATGCACACACCCCCATGCCGCCGCCTCACGAAGTCCCAGTTAATGGCATTTAGAAGTGTTTTGTGTTTTCACCCGCACTGAGACTGACGTCTTTTCATTGGTCAGTCGGTTAGCGCGAACGATCCTATTGTTAGTAATAAAGACACACAAATACACACAGGGGGTCCAAACCGATGACCTCGTGATCGGAGTGGGAGAGCACACCGTCAGCAGCTACGGCACCGTGTTGGCCTTCATGAACATCATGGGCCGCCCGATCGAGCTCCACTTCCGAAAATCTGACAAAAGCAGCGGCGATGGCGGTGGCGGCAGCGGTGGCGGACCGATCTCAGCGTGAGTAGAGAAGATGTCAAACCTGTTTTTCGTCCGAGGTGCAGAGGAGGGGGGTCGAAAACGGGGTAAACACAATCCATGTAGGTGCAAAGCCTCGAACTTGTTGGCTGCAAGAAGACCAACGGGGCACAGAACGCGCACATCGTTGCTAGGTAGACAACAACCGGGCCATAACACGTCGCCCGAAGGGGGAGCACTGACAACGACGCGTTCGGGTAGCGTATATATTGCCTTGCCGATCAACGTACCCCGAGGACCCTAAAAGTTCCTCGCGTAAACCGGCCGCGGCATGGCCCATCGCTATCACACGGCTCCCTTCGCTTCTTGTTAATCGAAATCCCATTTGGCCTTTACGCCCGCCGGCTTTATTCATGTGTTCTTGTCGTTCGTTCTGTCACGTGCACACACATCGTTTTTCCCAGCTCACACTCCGGCACCCGGGGAGGTGGCGGGGGCGGGAGTGCGGCCAAACCGGAGGGCTTCCGTGCGATGAAGGCTGGAGGCGTATCAAAATCTGGGCAGATCCGGGGGAATCTCGAGGGCACCCGCGGGGACAGCCTGTCGAGAAAGCTCAAGGTACAGCAGCAGGGCCAGGTGGCCAACGCGCTTACCTATTGCATGAACTCGGAGCACACGAAGCGCGTTCGAGCGAAGCACACGAGCGTTGTACATGAAGGTTCTTTCGTGGCTAGTAATCGACGTGCTCACACAGGGACGGGCTTCAGTTTTTATGCCTGTGCGTCCGCTTTCGTGGACATAAACGAAGGAGTCTGGATAAACGACCCGGGGGCCGGATGCAGCGGCCTAAGACTGCCCGCGAGCGGCGAAGGCGATAACTCTTTAAACCTGGTTGTGGTCGTCGCAACCTCGTGAACCATGTGTCGGTGACGATCTGAACCCACGTGCCCCGAAAGCAATGGACCCGATCAACAACAACAGCAACAACGCGCGATTTGCTGACATGACACCAACCCAAAACAGGGAGCAGCAGGAGCAAAGAGCGCCGGAGGGATTGCGCCCCGTTCCCCTATCTCTCCGCGGAGCCAGGGCAAGGTGTCCGGGTTTAGCGGGCTGGGGCGCGAGGTGGCGAGCTCTGACGCTGGCTTCAGCGAAAAGGTTTGTGTGTGGTACACATACGAGTGGCGGGG